AGAGGGCCTATATAGTGCCATTTTTCGCAACTGCTCCTGCTTAGGTGTTAAAAATGTATAAAATTCACACTCGAAAACCCTTCTAAAGTTGTTGGGTAACTTTCATTTCCCATTTATTACACTGACCTGAAAGGTCAAGTATCTTAATTTAAATCCCTAAATATCTGTTTTTTTCGTCGTCGAGAAATTTCAAAGACTTTCGATCAAGATTTTACGAGTTTTGTCGACATGCAAGTTTAGTCAAATTATTTATTCACGGGTTATAGCCTGTATATATCCCGCGGTACATCAAAGAAAACTGACTCGGCTAGTAAATAATAAAGTATATTGCCGTAGTGGCTTGTCAAGGTTAAAAAGATAAAGTAGTTTAAACAGAATTACGCTATGCAAACCATCGATCTTTCATGACAGAGAAATTACACGCTGTGTTCAATAATATGAGCGGCAAATAAGCATTTGATTACAAATTAATGAGATGTTAGAAAGATGATAAATTATTTTGCTAGACGAAACGAAGTTAAGCAAAAAGCAATAATCCATATGAAGTCATCATTTCACGACCCAGGTGGCTTATTTGCCTCGTATCCAGGCCCCTTGCTTAGCGGCGCCGTTACGTCACGCTTCCGTCCATAGCTTGCGTCCTGCGACCCACTTGCGTAGACCACACGAGGCATACAATAATACAGTGCAATAATTTGCTGAACACTCCCCGAATTGGGGCTTTTCAGTGAACAAATAACAACAAATAATAGTAATGGTAATTACCTATAACTATCTAATTATTTACTATAATTTACAGATAATATATACTGTGTTATGAATCTAGTTTCTTTTTTAGGGAATTTTTAAAAGTAATAAAATTCGTGTAAAGCTTCATGTCTTGATCCAACGAGTTCCACACACTAACTGCTCTATATTAGAAAGTCTTTTGACCAGATGCAGTTATAAAGAGTGGTTTATTAAAGGGCATATGACTCGAAAATTGACGGTGTTATTTTTTAGTCTAATTTGAAAGATAGTTGAAAACTGCATGTAGAGTAACTTCTTTGACAGATTTTTATTTTCTTGCTTCGTTTTGGAGATATTTCATTTTGCATGATATGCAAAGGACCAACTTTCTACGTTACACATGCATAATGACTTACTTTAAAATGTTATATAATTTTGTCACTATCAAATAGATTCGCTCATAATGAATGATGAGCACGAGATTTGTCCACAACAACACCCATGTAGGTTTTCTACTGATTGTGTTTGGTCGTATTAAAGATATACAGCTTTTAGGGCTAAATCATTATGCATATGTGACTTAGGAAGTTGGTCCTTTGCATATCATACAAAATAAAATATCTCCAAAACGAAGAAAGAAAACAAAAATCTGTCAAAGAAGTTACTCTACAGTTTTCAATGATCTTTCAAATTAGACTAAAAAACAACACCGTCAATTTTCGAGTCATATGCACTTTAAGGCTTTGTTTATTACGTGTTAGACGTCCAGATATTTGGCCTCTGAAAACCAATTGTTTAGTCAGATATTCAGGGGCACAACCTGTCTTGCATTTAAATGCAAGTGTGGCATCTCGTAAATATAAATGCTTTTCTATAGGAAGCCAGCGCAAATTCTTAAGTGTAGGCGTTATACGATTGTAGGCGTTATGTGATTTAGCATTGCAATCTCATACTCAATGTCCCAATATGCCCGATCGCAGGTTAGGTTCTCCAGGGTCGTGTGTCCAACACAATATTATTATTATTAAAAACTTGCTCGTCTGTTATTATGAACCGAATTAAATGTATTCAAACGATATTTTGGCACCATTTTATTAAACATGTTTTAAACATTAGCACTTTAAGATGTTGATTTCTTCCAATTTGGATCAGACAATATTTCGTGTGATCGAATGTTATACGTTTTTGTCCGAGACGCTTCCCTAGGTTATTCCAGACTCTACTGCAGAAGTCAAAATGTGGTTGGACTAATGATTTATACAAGGTGTCCCAAAAAAAAGTATACCTTTTGAAATCAACCCTTTGTTGGAATTTGAATGCCTTATTACTATTCTGAACCCATGGGTGTGTAAAATAGAACAGAATTGATATGACTATTTAGTAATTTGACAATTTTTTATGCAGTTATGCTCTTTAATTCATACGATTAGAAGCTATTTTAAATTCCCAGGAGAAGAAAATCTTGTACTTAGGGACGGGTCATTATTTATGGTGGGGGGTGGCACTGAAGAGAAATGTTTTTCCTGGCAAAAATTTTGCTGACCCAACCATTAAAAAGTCAAAAATTTGATTACCCAACCTCAGATATCAATTAAAAAATAATACCCAACCCTGGCCAAAACCTTTACAAAAGGATACCATTCAGTTGTCACACATGTCCTTTACCACTTCTGTGACACGAGTTTGATAACGGATTGTGCAATTTTCTGCAGTCTAAAGTTTCATGTTGTCTGCACATGTACAGTACTTTCTTTGGAGACACCATTTGTCTCCCAACAAATCGGAAAATGATCAAGAAAGTGACTCTGATTGATTCACATATTGTATTGACATATGACTGTTAACATTGCTTTTCAGTCTCCAATATTTAAGCGAGTTATGCTTTGGAAATGACAATAATTTTTTATTACCCAACCCTTGAGTTGTTTTGTTTTTTTATTTACCCAACCTTTTACTCACTCAAAATTTAGTTTACCCAACCCTTTTCTCTTCGGTGCCACCCCCCACCATAAATAATGACCGCTCCCTTAACAAGACGGAGTAGAGTTATTTATTCAGGTTTCATTTTTCAATACACCCTGTATCTTACGCTTCCGTGGATTCAGCATAATGCTCAGCCATTCAAAAAAGAAAATTTCAAAGGGTATACTTTTTTTTGGGACACCCTGTATATCATGCTGAGAACATGATGTGGGACTAACTATTTTAATCTCCTCAAAACGGGCATACTCTGGGTATACCGGAGATTGTAGCATTGCCGGAATTAGTCCTCAGTTTCACGATACTGGCATCTAGTTCGTCAAATTCTAATTACGCAACTTCAGTAGTTCTATTACACTCACGAAATTATTTCTGTGAAATTTCTGTGGTGCATGCTTAGCCTGCATGGCAGGCGGTCTTTCCCAGGCTTGCCCGATTTTAGGGACCGCCTGCCATGCAGGCTAGTGCATGCTAAGCGGTAAGACCCCACGCCCCCTTCGCCGTATTCTATGCAAATCGCCAATAGTGATGTCATTTCGCCACGCATTGGGAAAAGTTACCTAGCCAGGAAAAAGGCAGATTGAGAAGCAGTAACTTGATAACCAATGAATATGAAGAAAAACATGATTGTTGTGTATTTTTATTCATAATTATAACTATGCTATATCAATTTTAACATTTTTGCATAATCAAATAATCATAGTTCATATTCAAACTGGGACCCAGGCTTTCCTCCATGCTCATCAACAATTCCTATAAATTTTTAATCCGCTATTTCATAGACACAAGTTTTCATTCTGGCTATATCACAATTCTGTGCACGTCATAAGACTCTCGTTAAACGACTTCATTTTCTTTCTCTTCCAAAACTTGATATTGATATTTGAACGGCTTTCCTCTCATTCCTGCATGGCCAGAATGGAACTGGCTGTTGAACATTCTTTTCAACTAAGAAATAGTGACAGATAAAGTCTCTCTTGTATAGCTCCAGTGTTACTGCATGCTGAAAAATCACAACTAGAAGATCAAGGGCCCACAGTAATTGGTTTTAAGCTGTTGTGGTGACCCCGCCTTTTTGTTGTTGTCACCTTTTTGTCCAACCTTGAAACGTGGAGGCTGGGCGTATTTGCTGCGTTTCGATATGTTTTGTCTAGGTCTATGCCAAGTCATGTTGGGCTCATAAAAATCAAGCTATTCTAAAATGAATATAATTGTAAAATTAAACCGTCCTAGGTTAGCGGTCAAGGGTGTATGTTTTTGTTTTACTATCATGTTGAAACATAGACAGGGGCGCTGAAGTTTGCTCGTTTTCGGGTTGGACAGAAATGGTTGTGTGTACGTGTTGTTTGATTGTGTAATTATAGGCGAAGCTAAATAAATAAAAAATAAATCGAGTCATGCACAGAGATAGGTGAAAGCCACATTGAATTTCATTGTCGTAGGTGAGTTGTATGCTTGACTTACACAGTACAACTCAAGTTGTAAGCAGGTTGCATGCGACAGTTCTAGGCCAAAAGTTGGGTCACTAGTATAAAAGAAAAAGTAGTATACCACACCTTAATTTGGTCGCCAAATCTCCCAGTTGACGCCGAGTATGCCCCACCGCTCTGTGGTAAAACTACTACCAAACATAACAAGAAAAGGACTCCAAAAATATATTCCTTCATTCTTCTATTTTTTCAGTCTTCAGTCTAAGCAACTATACACCTCGAACTTAATTCACTGAACAACATTAACACCAGATTCACGACCTTTTTATACCCTTTCATAAACAGTTAATTAACAAATAAACACAGATGCGTCACGCGTTACAAATTGTCAATTCAATAGCGTCTGTTTAACGTAAATATTGTCTTTATAGTTATAAACGGACGGCAACCGGCTTTCAAAAACTACCGCGTCGATTCTTTTCATTATTATCATATACGAAACAACAAAAAAGGCAATTAATATGCTGCATTTTGGTTTGTTTTATCTATATAAAGCAGTAGAACAATTATATAACGCGTTTTCTTTTAATTTTCAAGTATTATATATTACCCCACTGGTTTTAATATCCAAATATACCTTTGTCAAATAAACAAACAGAATGTCGTCTCAGTTTAATAAATTGCCAGTTGATAACCCATTAACTCGCAGTGTTTGGCAATATAGGCATGTATTTTGTATAAAAACAGAATTAATGATTTTGGAAATGCGGTCAGTTTGCTTTGAAAATGTTCTTTTAATTTCCACGCGCGCATACGACAAACATCGCCGCCGTGTCTGTGATTTCAATACAAATTATTTCGATAAAAAGTAGGTGTATTTATTTATTTGCCCACAATGAAAATAACCTGCGCTTCCATTAGTTATTGGGAATTATGCATGCACTTTCATGACCTAGCTTTCATTGCGATTATCGCACAACAATTTCTTTCATTTTTCCTCGTAAACTTCTCGTGAGTCGTGTCGGCTCGCCCATTCTCGTCAACACGTATGCACTCTCATGCATTAAACTCCCGGGCACTTTCAACTGATTCTCTAATAAAATATACTCTCTTTAATTAACTAAAGAGTTTGCATATGGAATTGGAATTTGCATATATAGGTAAATTCTACGAAATGTCTCAGGGAAGCGAGTCAGTGTTTAACACTATACGTCGGTATACCCTCAAACATTTTTTACAAGTCCTTCAAAACTTGATGCAAAATTACTACCTGTGCATGATCAAATCAAATCAACAGTGTAAACCAGGTTTAAACTTTGTGTGCAATTTCATCAAGTTTTATCGATTTACTTTCATGTTCTCCGACTCGTGAACTCTCACAAATTTCATCAAATCTTTTAAACTCTCGTCAACTCTTATAGGAGTTTCTTTCAACGACTCTTGTGCCCTCCTTATACAGGGTGTATTAAAAAAAGCGCAATCCTCGACTGAAATGTAAATTGCTAAACAAATAATAGACGAAAACGTTAAAGTTTACATTCATTTTAAAGCGTAGCCATTCCGCTTTCTAACAGTGGGTTGTTTCTTAAATTTGACTCATTGGTTCGCGGGTAATAATACTTTATGTTATTGCGATTGGAGATTAAAAAAATTGAGATGGAATAACTAAACGTTCTCATGAAAATAACTGATTTTTTCATTAAAACAAAAAAATGTTGCATCTTATTAAATGGATTGTAACAATAAGTATAATTACGGCTTTTCTTCCACTATTTTTAAGTCAGTTTGAAACTTCAAATGCGATATAATTTTGGCTTGGACCATCTAAGCTGACTGACATCAACTTGCTATAATTTCTGTTTACATTACATCGCAATTCGATGACACTCTGGCTCAGACACCAGAATGTTTTGACGATTTTTAGCATTCGTTTAGGATTTTCAAACAACCTGGTCTCTTTTAAAATACTTTTAATTTGTTCTTATACGTGGTTTTTCAGATGTAGTGACGACAACATTAAAGTTTAAAGAAGAAAATTCTAACATTTAAACCGACTAAACAATAACATAGTAAACTTGCATAATTAAACAGCAACTAAAAATGATAGGTTTTACTAAATCTTTTCCTGTGCAATTATTACTAGCATTGGAGACAAGGATAATAGTTTGTTCGAAAGAGAAAAGAACAGGCTTTGAAGTAAGCCTAAAAGCGTGTAACTAGAAATTGTATTTCGAAAGTTATTAAGCACAAAAGATGAATTGCGTTTATTTTGATACACCCTGTATATACTCTAAACATTTTCTCTCGCACACTCTCACAAATTCCCTTCATGGCTTCAACTTTTGTTCACTATAACTATGGTAAACGCACTATATCAGACACTTTAGTAGTGCACTCGTAAAATATACACTCTAGTAAATCCATATTTATGATTTCTCTGTATTCTCGTTAAGACGTTAACCCTATAGTAGTACCGTCAGGGGGGGCTTGATGGAACCCATTTTATTCATATTAATTAATTTAAGGAAAAATAACGTGGAATTTAGCACACATATACTTCTTGTTTTTACCGTCAGAGACCTTGATGGAACCCATTTTATTCATAATAATTTGTTGGCAAAGTAATTTTAAAAATAAATATTGTCTAAGCTGAGTAAATTAAAGCTGAAGTTTATGTAAATCAGGACAAATCAAATCTTTATCAGTTTATGCGATTTACAAACATTCGTTTTTGTATTTTCCTCATGAATTATTAATTTTCGAGTTTTTTAAGTGAACACATTCGCTGAGCTTGCAACAAGCGGGCTTTAACGACAGGACAAGCTTGATTTTGTACGTCTCTTAACAAAAGAGGCCTGGCACATAAATATCGGACACCAAACAGTAATTGCCATTTACACAGCAATGGAGTGCCTACATGGATTGCCAGCGTCCGCGGTTTCTACAAAAAATGGAACATTTTGGCTTTGCAACAGAAATAACCCTACAAGTTGTGAATTCTCCTGCCCTGATCAAGATTGTTCGTTGTACGAAACGGCTATATGACGATGTGGAAAGCGAATGGACAAATTCATCCGGTGTGCGATACTCACCAGAGACTAACCAGGATGGAAGTCGTCAAAGACGTTAATAAACGCAACTTTGGAAGGCCATTTTTCGTTTGCTGCGACCGTGAGAACCCATGTAACTTCTGGCAGTGGGGTGACAGACACGAGTTTCCAAAACCCGAGTGCGGACACGGATTGAGTTGTTGCGTACGGAAAGTCGAACAGGAAGGAGAAAATCAAGGTCGCCTTTTCTTCTGTTGCCCAAACGATACCGAAGAGTCGTGCGGTTTTTTTGAATGGAAACTCGAGCCGGAAAACCCGTTCAACCAACTGCATTTTCCTCACGTTGAGAGAGTTGGTATACTGCAGAGCAATCCGGCGCTGCACACATACATGGTAGCTGAAACTGGACTCACCTTTACCAGCGCACGGGAAAATCCACACGACGCCTATGCTGAACATATGGGGGACTTGCCAATTTCCTCACTTACGAAGGCTATGGAGAGCGGACTGTCACTGATAGACTATTAGAGACGGTCACTGATAGACTATTACAGTATTAGAGACTATCATTAATTTATTTCATTTTAAAACATTGTTATAATAAACCGAATAGAACACTTAAATACATAAAATTATATCATATATATAGCCCACTGATCAGTGATATAACCTAGTTAGAGAAATGTTGTAACTATGCTAAATTGGTAGAAATAAATCAACATTGACATTGTGTTTCCTTCAGTTCAAACAAAATTATTTTTCGCCTTTGGTATGCCTCAGCGTACTCATTTCCATAGGCAGCCATGGAACAGATGACGCGGTGTCTTTGTTTTAGGCCATATTATACAGGGTGTATAAAAAAACTGAACAGATATGAATTTGCTCTCAATTTCGCAAAACAGCTATTAGTATCCAGTTTTTGATATATATATATAGTGTCTTTGGGTACTTATAATGTAGAATAATGAAAAAAAATTCTCAAGTCTCGGTCGTGATAACACACAGTGGTACGGACAGTTGTGGAGATTCAAGCAATTAACGGGTTCACTCGGTCCTCGAGTTCCTGGTTCTCACACGTCATTATTTTGTATTAGTTTGATAAAAATCAGTCTATCATTCGATGGCAAACCCCCCTCATCACACAATACAATATGGATAGCGACATTCTCAAAAACGCAATTGTCATTTGTGAAGCAGACGTTACTCTCGAAGACAGGGCAACTGAAATACGCAGCAATCAGCTCAAATGAAACAAGCCCAAACGGCAACGGGCACTACCATCTAGTAGTGATGAAGAAGAGTCGGAATCCGAAAGAAATAGTGTGGCTAAGTAAATTAGTCAACTATATCAAACCACTTGAAATTGACGAAAGCAAGGGAATCAAAACGCTTAGTCATGCATTCTACAGTTATTTAAAATATATAAAGAAAGGAGGTCCGCCTGACTACGAGTTCGGATCATAGATATCTTATATACACTAGATAGTGCATCTCTTTTAGCAGTAAAAGTGAAGCCAAGAGCATTCCAGCGGTTACCCCCATTTGAATAGATGGCGGCCATGTTGGTCGTTCCCACTTGTTAGTAAACGCTTAAAAACAACAATAACGTTCATCATTTGAATAGTTTAAAAACGTGTTTGGAATAGGTTTAACTTAATGTTTAAGTTCCCTGTTTAATAAATAGAAAACATACGAATCTTCTCATTTCATGGGAACGACTTGAGACTGCAATCACGGCTTCAATTTTTGAATTGCAGAATAATCAGATTCACTATCTAGTGTATATAAGATATCTATGGTTCCGATGCAAACAAAACGGTGATATGCTTGATGGCAAACTTATAACATCCGCCTCGTCAATCATACTTGAAAAGGTCAGAAAAGGTCAACGCATGTCGGAAATCGTAAGTGAACATCGGCTATCTTTAAAACAGAAAATGGGGAATCCGGGAATCGGGGAATACAATGTATAATACCATGCCAAGTTGATGCAATACAGGCCCACTCGAGATAATAGAGAGGTTAAGATACGCCGGTTTCGGTGTACGGGTACGAGTAGCATGATTTTGGTTAGCAATATTTTCGTCGATGTCTGTACCTTTACTCGTAATTAAGGTGCACATTTTTCGCATTATATCATTGTCTATTGCAAGAAAACAGAAAAAGTATGATCGAATTACAGACATCAGTAAAACAAGATGACACTACTCGTACCCGTACACCGAAACCGGCGTATCTTAACCTCTCTAATGACAAAACGGATGTGCTCCACGTGTATTCTGAAACCGGACTCGGTAAGACAACAATGATGTCTCGTCTTTTATCTGCGATCGATGCAAGATCTTGGATTCGGATCATACTATACTAAAATGGGAGGTCTTAAGAAGTATTGGGATGGTTATGATAATCAATAGATCATGTGGATTGACGACCCGGTTAATCCGAATGCAGAGAGAGACCCCGAATCAATTCAACAGCTCAAGAATGTCTTGTCAACCGGAAACTGCCTTGTTGAAATCAAATATGGTTCGCTTCTATTCGATTCGAAATTGGTTATCACATCCGATACGTCTCCGATGCAGATTGCTCAAATATATATATATATATATATACATTCAAAAACTGCATACTAATAAAACTGATATATATTCAAAAACTGGATACTAATAAAACTGAACAGATATGAATTTGTTCTCAATTTCGCAAAACAGCTATTAGTATCCAGTTTTTGATATATAGTTTCTTTGGGTACTTATAATGTAGAATAATGAAAAAAATTTCTCAAGTCTCGGTCGTGATAAAATACAGTGGTACGGACAGTTGTTGAAATTCAAGCAATTAACGGGTTCACTCGGTCCTCAAGTTCCTGGTTCTCATACGTCATTCTTTTGTATTAGTTTGATAAAAATCAGTCTATCATTCGATGGCAAACCCCCCTCATCACACAATACAATATGGATAGCGACATTCTCAAAAACGCAATTGTCATTTGTGAAGCAGACATTACCTTCGAAGACAGCGCAACTGAAATCCGCAGCAATCAGCTCAAAAGAAACAAGCGCAAACGGCAACGCGCACTACCATCTAGTAGTGATGAAGCCGAGTCGGAATCCGAAAGAAATAGTGTGGCTAAGTAAATTAGTCAACTATATCAAACCACTTGAAATTGACGAAAGCAAGGGAATCAAAACGCTTAGTCATGCATTCTACAGTTATTTAAAATATATAAAGAAAGGAGGTCCGCTTGACTACGAGTTCGGATCATAGATATCTTATATACACTAGATAGCGCATCTCTTTTAGCAGTAAAAGTGAAGCCAAGAGCATTCCAGCGGTTACCCCCATTTGAATAGATGGCGGCCATGTTGGTCGTTCCCACTTGTTAGTAAACGCTTAAAAACAGCAATTACGTTCATCATTTGAATAGTTTAAAAACGTGTTTGGAATAGGGTTAACTTAATGTTTAAGTTCCCTGTTTAATAAATAGAAAACATACGAATCTTCTCATTTCATGGGAACGACTTGAGACTGCAATCACGGCTTCAATTTTTGAATTGCAGAATAATCAGATTCACTATCTAGTGTATATAAGATATCTATGGTTCCGATGCAAACCAAACGGTGATATGCTTGATGGCAAACTTACAACATCCGCCTCGTCAATCATACTTGAAAAGGTCAGAAAAGGTCAACGCATGTCGGAAATCGTAAGTGAACATCGGCTATTTTTAAAACAGAAAATGGGGAATCCGGGAATCGGGGAATACAATGTATAATACCATGCCAAGTTGATGCAATACAGGCCCACTCGAGATAATAGAGAGGTTAAGATACGCCGGTTTCGGTGTACGGGTACGAGTAGCATGATTTTGGTTAGCAATATTTTCGTCGATGTCTGTACCTTTACTCGTAATTAAGGTGCACATTTTTCGCATTATATCATTGTCTATTGCAAGAAAACAGAAAAAGTATGATTGAATTACAGACATCAGTAAAACAAGATGACACTACTCGTACCCGTACACCGAAACCGGCGTATCTTAACCTCTCTAATGACAAAACGGATGTGCTCCACGTGTATTCTGAAACCGGACTCGGTAAGACAACAATGATGTCTCGTCTTTTATCTGCGATCGATGCAAGATCTTGGATTCGGATCATACTATACTAAAATGGGCGGTCTTAAGAAGTATTGGGATGGTTATGATAATCAAGAGATCGTGTGGATTGACGACCCGGTTAATCCGAATACGTCTCCGATGCAGATTGCTCAAATATATATATATATATATATATATATATATATATATATATATATATATATATATATATATATATATATATATATATATATATATATATATACATTCAAAAACTGGATACTAATAAAACTGAACAGATATGAATTTGTTCTCAATTTCGCAAAACAGCTATTAGTATCCAGTTTTTGATATATAGTTTCTTTGGGTACTTATAATGTAGAATAATGAAAAAAATTTCTCAAGTCTCGCTCGTGATAAAACACAGTGGTACGGACAGTTGTTGAAATTCAAGCAATTAACGGGTTCACTCGGTCCTCAAGTTCCTGGTTCTCATACGTCATTCTTTTGTATTAGTTTGATAAAAATCAGTCTATCATTCGATGGCAAACCCCCCTCATCACACAATACAATATGGATAGCGACATTCTCAAAAACGCAATTGTCATTAGTGAAGCAGACATTACTTTCGAAGACAGCGCAACTGAAATACGCAGCAATCAGCTCAAAAGAAACAAGCGCAAACGGCAACACGCACTACCATCTAGTAGTGATGAAGCCGAGTCGGAATCCGAAAGAAATAGTGTGGCTAAGTAAATTAGTCAACTATATCAAACCACTTGAAATTGACGAAAGCAAGGGAATCAAAACGCTTAGTCATGCATTCTACAGTTATTTAAAATATATAAAGAAAGGAGGTCCGCTTGACTACGAGTTCGGATCATAGATATCTTATATACACTAGATAGCGCATCTCTTTTAGCAGTAAAAGTGAAGCCAAGAATATTCCAGCGGTTACCCCCATTTGAATAGATGGCCGCCATGTTGGTCGTTCCCACTTGTTAGTAAACGCTTAAAAACAACAATAACGTTCATCATTTGAATAGTTTAAAAACGTGTTTGGAATAGGGTTAACTTAATGTTTAAGTTCCCTGTTTAATAAATAGAAAACATACGAATCTTCTCATTTCATGGGAACGACTTGAGACTGCAATCACGGCTTCAATTTTTGAATTGCAGAATAATCAGATTCACTATCTAGTGTATATAAGATATCTATGGTTCCGATGCAAACCAAACGGTGATATGCTTGATGGCAAACTTACAACATCCGCCTCGTCAATCATACTTGAAAAGGTCAGAAAAGGTCAACGCATGTCGGAAATCGTAAGTGAACATCGGCTATCTTTAAAACAGAAAATGGGGAATCGGGGAATACAATGTATAATACCATGCCAAGTTGATGCAATACAGGCCCACTCGAGATAATAGAGAGGTTAAGATACGCCGGTTTCGGTGTACGGGTACGAGTAGCATGATTTTGGTTAGCAATATTTCCGTCGATGTCTGTACCTTTACTCGTAATTAAGGTGCACATTTTTCGCATTATATCATTGTCTATTGCAAGAAAACAGAAAAAGTATGATTGAATTACAGACATCAGTAAAACAAGATGACACTACTCGTACCCGTACACCGAAACCGGCGTATCTTAACCTCTCTAATGACAAAACGGATGTGCTCCACGTGTATTCTGAAACCGGACTCGGTAAGACAACAATGATGTCTCGTCTTTTATCTGCGATCGATGCAAGATCTTGGATTCGGATCATACTATACTAAAATGGGCGGTCTTAAGAAGTATTGGGATGGTTATGATAATCAAGAGATCGTGTGGATTGACGACCCGGTTAATACGAATACAGAGAGAGATCCCAAATCAATTCAACAGCTCAAGAATGTCTTGTCAACCGGAAACTGCCTTGTTGAAATCAAATATGGTTCGCTTGTATTCGATTCGAAATTGGTTATCATCACATTCAAGAGGGTGGGAAAGGGAATTTTCGTGAGCCGTGAATAGTGAATATTTGTTCGTGTGAAATGCTTGATTTTAGTGTCGTGAAATGTGATTTGTTCTACAGCCATGAGGCGTGATTGTTGATAAAAATGCTCCGTGAAATGAGAATTAAGGATGCCTGTTTCGTGAACTGTGATTATTATAGTGATTATTATAATAAACATGATACGCGATAATCAAATTTATATGATCTCACTCGATTGCACAAGAGTAAAAACTTCGGAGGCCTTTCGCGAGGTTCCTGACGCTGAGAACAAGGTTCCTGACGCTGAGAACAAGGTTCCTCACGCTGAGGACAAGGTTCCTGACGCTGAGGACAAGGTTCCTCACGCTGAGGACAAGGTACCTGGCGGTGAGGACAAGGTTCCTGGCGCTGAGGACAAGGTTCCTGACACTGAGGACAAGGTTACTGGCAGTGAGGACAAGGTTCCTGGCGGTGAGGACAAGGTTCCTGGCGGTGCGGACAAGGTTCCAGGCGGTAAGGACAAGGTTCCTGGCGGTGAGGACAAGGTTCCTCTCGGTGAGGACAAGGTTCCTGGTGGTGAGGACAAGGTTCCTGGCGGTGCAGACAAGGTTCCTGGCGGTGAGGACAAGGTTCCTGGCGGTGAGGACAAGGTTCCTGGTGCTGAGGACAAGGTTCCTGGTGCTGAGGACAAGGTTCCTGGTGCTGAGGACAAGGTTGCTGGCAGTGAGGACAAGGTTCCTGGTGCTGAGGACAAGGTTCCTGGCGCTGAGGACAAGGTTCCTGGCGTTGAGGACAAGGTTCCTGGCGGTGAGGACAAGGTTCCTGCCGGTGAGGACAATGTTCCTGGCTGTGAGGACAATGTTCCTGGCGGTGAGGACAAGGTTCCTGGCGGTGAGGACAAGGTTCCTGGCCGTGAGGACAAGCTAGGTTACTGGCGGTGAGGACAAGGTTCCTCGCGGTGAGGACAAGGTACCTGACGGTCAGGACAAGGTACCTGATGGTCAGGACAAGGTACCTGACGGTGAGGACAAGGTTCCTGGCGGTGAGCACAAGGTTCCTGGCGGTGAGGACAAGGTTCCTGGCGGTGAGGACAAGGTTCCTGGCCGTGAGGACAAGCTAGGTTACTGGCGGTGAGGACAAGGTTCCTCGCGGTGAGGACAAGGTACCTGACGGTCAGGACAAGGTACCTGACGGTCAGGACAAGGTACCTGACGGTGAGGGCAAGGTACCTGACGGTCAGGACAAGGTTCCTGGCGGTGAGGACAAGGTTCCTGGCGGTGAGGACAAGGTTCCTCGCGGTGAGGACAAGGTTCCTCACGGTGAGGACAAGCTAGCTTACTGGCGGTGACGACAAGGTTATTGGCGCTGACGACAGGGTTCCTGGCGTTGAGGACAAGGTTCCTGGCGGTGAGGACAATGTTCCTGGCGGTGAGGACAATGTTCCTGGCGGTGAGGACAAGGTTCCTGGTGGTGACGACAAGCTAGGTTACTGGCGGTGAGGACAAGGTTCCTGGCGGTGAGGACAAGGTTCCTGGCGGTCAGGACAATGTTCCTGGCTGTGAGGACAATGTTCCTGGCGGTGAGGACAAGGTTCCTGGCGGTGAGGACAAGGTTCTTGGCCGTGAGGACAAGGTTCCTGGTGCTGAGGACAAGGTTCCTGGTGCTGAGGACAAGGTTCCTGGTGCTGAGGACAAGGTTCCTGGTGCTGAGGACAAGGTTCCTGGCGCTGAGGACAAGGTTCCTGGCCCTGAGGACAAGGTTCCTGGCGGTGAGGACAAGGTTCCTGGCGGTGAGGACAACGTTCCTGGCACTGAGGACAAGGTTCCTGGCGGTGAGGACAAGGTTCCTGGCGGTGAGGACAAGGTTCCTGGCGGTGAGGACAAGGTTCCTGGCACTGAGGACAAAGTTCCTGGCGGTGAGGACAAGGTTCCTGGAGGTGAGGACAAGGTTCCTGACACTGAGGACATGGTACCTGGCAGTGAGGACAAGGTTCCTGCCGCTGAGGACAAGGTTCCTGGCGCTGAGCACAAGGTTCTTGGCGGCGAGGACAAGGTTCTTGGCGGCGAGGACAAGGTTCCTGGCGGTGAGCACAAGGTTCCTGGCGGTGAGGACAAGGTTCCCGGTGCTGAGGACAAGGTTCCTGGCGGTGAGGACAAGGTTCCTGGCGGTGAGGACAAGGTTCCTGGCGGTGAGGACAAGGTTCCTGGCGCTGAGGACAAGGTTCCTGGCGCTGAGGACAAGGTTCCTGGCGGCGAGGACAAGGTTCCTGGCGGTGAGGACAACGTTCCTGGCACTGAGGACAAGGTTCCTGGCGGTGAGGACAAGGTTCCTGGCGGTGAGGACAAGGTTCCTGCCACTGAGGACAAAGTTCCTGGCGGTGGGGACAAGGTTCCTGGAGGTGAGGACAAGGTTCCTGACACTGAGCACATGGTACCTGGCAGTGAGGACAATGTTCCTGGCGCTGAGGACAAGGTTCCTGGCGCTGAGGACAAGGTTTCTGGCGCTGAGGACAAGGTTCCTGCCGCTGAGGACAAGGTTCCTTGCGGTGAGGACAAGGTTCCGGGCGGTGAGGACAAGGTTCCCGGCGCTGAGGACAAGGTTCCCGGCGGTGAAGACAAGGTTCCCGGCAGTAAGGATTGGTTCCCGGCGGTGAGGACAATGTTCCTGGTGCTGAGGACAAGGTTCCTGGTGCTGAGGACAAGGTTCCTGGTGCTGAGGACAAGGTTGCTGGCAGTGAGGACAAGGTTCCTGGTGCTGAGGACAAGGTTCCTGGCGCTGAGGACAAGGTTCCTGGCGGTGAGGACAAGGTTCCTGGCGGTGAGGACAAGGTTCCTGGCGGTGAGGACAAGGTTCCTGGCGGTG